TGAAGGGAGGGCTAGGATTGGGAAAAGAATAAGAGCCAAGATGCATCATGTAAAGGTACAAGTTCCCAATGAGAAATGTAAATGTGTTGTATACCTAAATTGTACCAATAAAAGAATTTAAGTAAAAAAAAAATACATCTGACTATATTTCTTTGCCCTACCTCAACTGTAATCCAAAGTGCACTGCTGGGATTTAGAATGGATTTGAATGTACAATTTATGGATGACTTAGCTAATTTTAACTATTGCTTTGCCTAATTTCCTTGTTCTGATTTTTAAAAAATAGTCGTGAGAATTTTTTTCTGGGTTTAAATGATTTCTTTATAATGGTAAATTATTGTAAGTACTTGCTAAAATATTGTAAACCTGCCAGTGGATTTCCAAGTGTTAAGTAAGCTTCCAACCTTAAAGTTATTGCTCAAAATAAATTACATAACTACCCTAAATATTAACCTCATAATTAAATGTAATGGAAATTCTCCAATAAAGAGTCATTTTACAGAAAAACCAACCATTAAAAATAATATGCAACTGGATACTTCCTAATATTGGGCTAACAAAAATGAACTTTAAATATATGAGCAAGTGCCCAACTATTGAACAACATCCCCAGCCCATATCTCTTTACCTAGTTGTTTTATGTGGCACAGAAGAAAAAAATAAATTTTTAGAGTAATACTTGCTGGCTCTTTTGTAGCTAGTAATTGGTAGCATGAAGCTTTGATTTCCAATGTAAATCACTAGAATTTTATAGTTATCAGAATATTTTTGTTTCATTTCTATTTTTTATTATCGGGGATCTAACTCAGGACCTTGTGCTTGTGAGGCAGGTGGCGGCACCACTGAGCTAAATCCCTGGCCACAGAATATTTTTTTATAAGGACCCCAAGATTGCTTTTCCTTTTAAAGGAAAACAATGAAAATTCTCAAGGGAAAACACTTTTTGGAACTTATCCCTGTTCATTTTAGTGTTCACATTTCAACACAATCTGCTTTAGGTATGGGGTTGAGATTAGGTGCAATATATTTGAAGACGTCTAAATGACTACTCAGTTAACTACTGTATACCAAATTGCTAAGGTTTCATTCAATAAATTAAATCTTACATTGCCTTGGTGCTATATTGAGATAACTTTCTATAAAATAGATATTTATGGGTGAAACATTGCTGAGAATTTCTCTCTCTGAGTGAATACCATGAAAAGTACTTTCATACCTAAGATAAAATGTTATTTATTTTACAAAAAAGAAATCCTAGCATTTATTTAAATAGTTCCCCAAATATAAAAAATAGGATTTGGTTTACAGTAAACTTAACCTGTAACATATTACTGCAGTCCATGAGTCAAAATATATAAAAACACAAATACCAGAGCATATGTAAGTGATATAATTAAAAAATTATTAATATCATTAGTAAGTTATTCCCAATGCAGATTAATTCTTTTAAGAATTGCACTTTATTTGGAATATTAGTTTATCACAAAACAATGACTTACCTACCTCACAGGGCTGCTGTGGGGATTATGATGTTTGTTCAAATCTTGACTACTTTGAACATGCTAATAAACTATTTTTCTACCTCTTGTAAAAAAATAATAACAAATGCTGGCATGAATGTTGTGAAAAAGGAGCCCTTAAACATTGTTGGGGGGAATGTAAACTACTGTAAACTAGTGTAACTAGGGGAATGTAATTAGTGTATGGAAACCAGTATGGAGATTTCTCAAAAAACTAAAAATAGAAATTCCATTGACCCAATTATTCCACTTCTAGGTATCTTCCCAGAAAAGCTAAAGTTATCATATTACAGCAATGTATTCATACGAGTGTTTATTGTAGAACAATTCATAATAGCTAAGTACTGAAAGCAGTTAGTATGCCCATCAACAGATGAAAGGATAAATGTCCTATCTATACATAATGGAATACTACTCAGCTATAAAGAAGTATAAATTTCAGACATATGTTGGAAAAATGGATTCACCGGAAAACAATGTTAAGTGAAATAAATCAGACACACAAAAATACCATATGGTTTCTCTCATTTAAGTAATGCAAAGTATAAATAAGAGCAAATAAAAGATTGATGAAAGGAATCCAGAGGTAGATTTTTTTTGTAAATGGAAAGGAGTCCAAGAGGCCAATGGAGAGAGAAGGGGGGAGTGGTAACAAACAGCCACAGTAAATGTAATCATTATATGTCATACACATGAATGAAAATAATAACAGTAAAGTATGAGCCTAATATATAACTAGTTTGTTTAAAAACATTGGCTTTTTCAGTAGTATAATGATATAAAGTTCAGTGTACAAACTCAGACATACAGGGAATAAAACTCAGGGAGTTTTTTTGTTTGTTTTTTGTTACTGGGGATAAACTTGGGTCCTTTCCCTTGCGCAGCAGGCAGTGAAACCACTGAGCTAAATCCCCAGCCAAAACTCAGTTTTTTAAAAACTCAGCCTCTTTCCATGGAACTGGCAAGAAATTCAATCTGCACAGCTCCCCTGTCTGCACAGAGCCATGTAGTACCAAAATTTGAGTGAGGGGTATAGTAGGTAGAATTGAACCCCTGGTCATCAACCACGTCAGTTTGCCATGTTCATTGTCCCAGCTACACAGGCAGGCCCTGTAGAATTTTGTCATGTTCCCAAGATTTTACTAAACCATTTCAACAAGGTGGTTCCTGTTCCTCCTAGCTACATCAGATCTCAGATCTTCCTCCACTGGAAAATCTAATCCTTTCTCCCCTTTTGCACCTTTACTAAAGAAAAGCTTGATTTCTACTTTCTGTCTGGTAAAATTCCCTAACCTATATCCCATGGATATAGCTACTACTTTGGATTTTTCTATAAATTTCAGCAGAAGAGGAAAAATACACTGCACAAATACAAATTCTGTCTCAAAAAGCTATCCTGTTACACAGGTATTTTAACTTCCAGATTGGTTAATTTCCCTCTAAATATGACATCGGCTCCATGTTTCCTCAGTTGCCCACCTAGCAGGTCAATAGTGTCCCTGCTAAGCACTCTTAAGCAACACCTTAAAGAAGTATCAATTTAGCTGGGTGTGGTGGCTCATGCCTGTAATCCCAGCACTCAGGTGGCAGAGGCAGGAGGATCACTGTGAGTTCAAGGCTAGCCTGGGCTACATAGTGAGTTCAGGACCAGCCTGAACTACACAGCACAACCCTGTCTAAAAACATATATATATATCAGCTTTGGGGTTCTCAGATACTGTAGGTATGCAAAAACCTTGCAAAGTATCTTCAAGGGAGACAAAAGTGATTTTCTTTCCAATGAAACTGTGCAGATTATTTCTTATATATGCAGTGCCTAGAATATCATTTTACAAAGCGGTAAATCAACATCTTTTATGCCTTTTTTTAATATTTAGACCTTGCTGAGAAAAGGAAAAGCAAAAAGAGGAGATTGCTTATAGATCCAATCAAGGAGATCAGTAGCAAAACTATGCATAAACAGCTGACTTCCTTTTCGGACACACTCATGGTTTTAGAACTTGCACCTCCTACCCAAAGATTAATGATGTGGAAGAAGAGGGGAGGAGTGGATACACTTCTGTCAACTGCTGCCCAGGATTTGATTCATAGTGAACTGAAAGTGGTAATAGTTTCTTTCCTTTTACTTGAGTGCAGTGTTTCTTTATAAGTAAAACCATATTTACATACATATATGCAACAGAATTTGAACTTGTGAAAAATAATCATTTATAAATTAATGTGTTGAATATCTGTATGAATTATAATTTTCACTTTTTAGTATATATGCTTATGATTTTATTGAGTTGGTACAAAAACGAGAAATAAAAATGTATGTTTTCACAGTTGTTTACAAAATGCTTTCTGGCCTCTGGCTTTAAACTTGGAAGAAAATTGACGCAGAAGAAGTCAGTAAGGGAAGGACTGGGAAGACAAAATGTAGTAGGTGAGACTTCCCAATTCTGTTAATGTTAAGAGGAATATCGTGAAAACAAAAGTCTCATTTTACATTTCAGAGTGAAAATGGGAAGCGATTCCCTATTTTCAAGTATAAATGCTATCTAGATGAGTATTTAAACTTAAAATAATTACTTCAGTATTTCATTTTTCTATTTTTCAGATTTATTTTTGTCTGAAAGACTTCATTACAAAGATGAAACTATATATACTATGTAGACCATTGGGTTTTTTTCTTTCTCTTTCTCACTTTCCCTATTCCCAAAGTCAGTACTCACAAACCATTAAGAAAGAAAATCTTTATATCTAGCAGTATAATATTTCACTTTAAAACAACTAACATGAAAAATCATGTAGGATAACAACACAATTAACCTGAAACATAGTATTACTATATATCCATAAAGAATTTACAATTGATTATTTTTGTGACAATTATAAAGTAGTTATAAAACCAACTTATATGGTGAATGAGCCTCCACTTCCCAATCACCCTTCCTGAAGGCATTAAAATCTACTGAATATTGGGCTGGGGATTTAGCTCAGTGGTTTCGCCTCCAGCTGCTCAAGCGCAAGGACCCAAGTTCAATCCCTGGTACAAAAAAAAAAAAATCTACTGAATAATATACCCTAATGGACTTGAACTCCCCATGTTGCCTTGTGAATGAATGTGTGAAAATGAGGATGGAGTCAATGTATAAATATGTGGATTTGGCAATGGATGGGGAGTGGAGGTGATAGAGACAGATGAGGAGAAAAAGATTAATATGTGAGAATTAGGGGAGCTATAAGAAAGTTTGTATACCCTTTATTGAATTCTTGGATTCTAAGTTGTCCATCAGAGAAGTTTTCTTTTGTAACAACCATATCCCAATTTATGTTTGAAAGGTATCTTAGTGAAATATTCTTTACTTCCTTGATAATTCAGAGATCTCCATGATGGAAGAGCCAAATTCCCACCAAGAGTTAAGTCACCCCCACATTTGGAAGGATGTGATTGATGAGTTTAAGAGTAGCTCTAATGAGGATATCAGTAAAAATAGTAACTCTGAGGTAAGTTAACTAGAGAGAATCATAAAAATATTTTTTTGACACAGCTTTGGTGAAAGAATGTTGGGACTCTGATTTATCTTCTCACTTTTATAGATCATATTTCTTCAATCTACATTTTTTTAGTAAGCAATACTACAGGGTAAAACATGATTTTCATTTGTGAGACAATATTCTGTAGAAGTTTAGGATAATTGAATCACAAGATAAAGTAGTTTCACACTGAGATAGTATTTTTCACAATCTATTAAATGAATCATTGTTTGACCTTGAATCTGGCTCTATGCTGAGAATCCTCATGTTCAATATGTCATGGAATATATCCGGAGTCTAACCAATAAGCCTGTTTTGTTTCTCATCATAACTTCACCCTTCCTGCCACTAGTGTGTTTTAAGCCATCAATTACCTTGACTTTGAATCTGAAAGGTTAATGATCCGTGACCAAACAAATTTTTAAACTTTTTATTTGAAGATACAATCTTCATTTGAAAAATAGCTATTTAAAAATAGTTAGAAACAATGTGCTTTAAAATATTTCCTCACTTGTCACTTTATTGGTTGTACAAATGTAAATATTATCATACTAGATGAAAATAAACCAGTTCTTTTCTGGTACGTTGCATCATCACTGCATTTTGATGACCACTCAGGGAACTCAAAGTTAATCTACAGTGAAACTGAATGCCCTTGGAAGGAAAGATAGTTGCACAGTGCTTTAAAACAGGATATATTTTATTAAATATTTGATAATACACTGGGTATCATATGCTGGGTTGCCAAGACTATATTCCTCACATGGGCTCAGGTGTTTCTTAGAAAGTACCTACTGAAAATTATGATTAGACAGGCTTGTTTAGATTATGATGTTTGGAAGGAAAACAAGTACAGTTATTATAGGCATAATAACAATATAATTTCCCCATTATGTGCTTGAAGTGGAAATAAGGGAAGAGATTGATATACCTGTTCTTTTGAACCTTTACTCTTTTTACCCTATGCTATATTTTAACCTTCAATTCCATTTTTACTTTGCTCCCAAAATGGTGAAAAAATGTGAAATATGGTTGATGTATGGAAGCACAGTCAATTTGAAGGGACATGAAAATATTGATTCTGAGTAATCATTTTCGAATCCTCATAAAACAGAATTTTCATGTATAGTAACTATAATTGAGAATATCTAAAATGTAGGCTATTCATAAAAAGTAAAAGAAAAACATGATAAACCTCCACAAATACATATAATAAAAAATAAAATACAATTCCTTATATTGACTAAAATCTTTTTCCTCTGCCATCTGGTACTGGCCCGAGGAAGCTAGGACTAGATAAAATGCTTCAAAAGAAAACAATAGCACAGCAATAGAGACTTTTGTCATGAAGCCTTCAATGGAGGAGGAAGTAGGAAAAAGATGGGAAGCAAAAAGGGAAAAGTATACAAGTTCTTTACTTGTATGGAGGCATATGGAAGAAAGAAATGTTTAAGTTAGGAGCTACCTATCTGGGATATTTTAGAAATAAAATTTTGAGGATGTGGTAATATTTTAAATTAGTTTGAGAAATGAACATTCATTCATATTATTAAACCATTTAACAAAATTAGATTGTTCTTGAAATAGCCACTAGCAGAATTACCTCTTTCTCTAATTTTTTTATAGCAGGATATTATTGAAATGATCCCTCAAGCTGCTGAGAAATCATCTATAAAGAATGCTTTCTTGGCCCAAGAATATTGTCCAGTGGAATTGGTAAGTATGTGTACTTTTGGAGATATTCTTTAAAAATGTTCCTAATATTGAATATTTTATTTATCTAAAATTTAGTTTTTAGTGCTGTCTTGTTACTTTCTAAAGTTATAATTTAAATTTGTAATCTCAGTAGAGATGTTTGTGAATACTTTTTTTTTTTTTTTTTTTTCGTACGGGAGATTGAACTCAGGACCTTGCATTTTCGAGGCAGGAGGTGGCACCACTGAGCTAAATCCTCGGCCCTGTGAATACTTTGATAAAACATTCAAATTTTACTTTTTCTTTTGTCATTATTTTGAAACTTCAAATAATTTTAAAGGAATGTGTACAACTTCTATGCCTATCAACAGTAGTGATAGGTTTTTAAATGTTGAAAATCACTGTTTTAAATTTTTTTTAAGCTTATAAAATATCTAGAGAGCCAGGCATGGTGGCTCATGACTGTAATCTCAGCACTCTGGAGGCTGAGGCAGGAGGATCCCTGTGAATTTGTGTCCGGCCTGGGCTCCATAGTGAGTTCAAGGTCAGCCTGGACTGCATAGTGAGACCCTGTCTCAAAAAAAAAAAAATCTCTAGAGAAACCATGCTTATTAGGGGTATAGCTTAGGCAGTGATGGTGAACCTCTTAGAGTTTTCAATGATACAAACAACTGGCTGTGGCCATAGGTTTGCCACCATTGGCCTAGGGCATTTGAAATTTTTCTTACAAAATAGTGTGGGCAATTTTTCTAGAAATCAGAAAATGAAAATGACCTTTTCAAAGGGCCACATGTTGATAGCAAAGCCAAAAGTAAATTTTTACTCAACTGATTTCCTGTGTTACTGACTTATTTTTCTGTTCTTTGTCATAGAGTACTAAAGACATGTTTAAGATTGTAAGGAATTTTAGCAAAAGTTTTTAAAATAAGTAATATCAAGATACCTCTTAATGTCTGACATTAGTTTTTAAATAAGTTATCTTTTTAATTAATTATAAGAGTATTAGATTGTTTTTCTCATACATGGAATACACGCTGAATTCTTTGGATAATCTGAGAATACATTATCTGAACTTTTTACCTGAAACATTCATATAGCTGATCCATAAGTGAGTTGATTCATTTTTTCCAGTCTCTTTGCTTCCATAGACACAGGTTGTTTTCATATATGATCCAGCAAACCACAACATAGCATGAGTTTAGCTGTTTAAATAATCCTCTGGACTTTCCACACAATGGGTTCAGTTGTAGGGTGTCTACACAGATCAAATGTATTGGCATTAGCAAAACAGAAGACTATTCTGTGCTTTTTTTCTGGTTAGCTGTACATTACAGGTGAAGCTACAGTTTCATGAATCTAACAGATTTTTACATGTGTATTTAACAATAAAATAAATATGAGTTATTACATGAATTAATTTACCCAAGGACAGACCAGAAGAGAATAAGCATACAATGTAACTGGATAGATTCTGGGAAACTCTTCAGGAAAAAAGTGACCATATTTTCAACTCACTCTCACTGGGATGTAAGAAAGGTCACGGCACAGGCAGGACCATGCTATGTAGCCAGTTCTGGAAGCAGGGACTCAACAGTTCCTGGACTGAATCAGAGAGTCCCTTTAGCCTCAAATGATTTAAAATATGAGGCAGAATATTTTTGCAATTCCCGAAATTCTCTTAGAGGTCATGAAATCAAAAGTACTTTGAGGAAGTGTCTGGGCTCCAGAGCTGTGGATGAAGCTAGACAAACAGGGGACATGTGATAAGGGTTAACACAGGTGCTGTTGGTCAGAGCTAGCCTAGGAAAAATGGTAAAGTAGGTCAGCTCTGTGCAACTTTCCTCCCCCAGCCCTTTGTATGCTGCTCTTCTATCAGATTCATCACCTTTCTTGTGCCCAGGTTCTGTTCTCAGCTCACAAAGTGTTAGTTGGTAGGGACGACAATGAGTTCTTGTAAAGAGATTTCAACTTTACAATTTTAAATATTAAGATACAGTGGTTAATCTTTTAAGATGGAAAGAATGAATCTGTTTGGGTAACATGACAGGCAGTGGGTTAACCTTTTCTGGATAAGGCACTTTCAAACTGTGAAAGGTTTCTAACCCAACTGTCACAAATTACTAAACACCAGCTATTTTTAGAGCTTCTCTATAACCATATAAAAGTTCTTATAACTTTTATATAGCTTTACAAGACAGTTTTTTTCTGTAGCTTTATATTTACTCCTGTCAGCTGAGTTCAGATTGACCAGAAAAAGAATAGATCTAGCGGAAAGTGCTTGTCTTTGCTAAATTTACTTTTCAGGGTACATAAGGACGTAGTGCTCTGGGATACATTACCAATAAGATTGCACAATCTCCTACTTTGGATCTCCTTATCAGAAGACAGTGTGGGGAGTATATGTGCAATCCTCCACAGGTTGATGTATATTTGTGTTAGTCTCACTCTCCCCATTATCAGACTATAAGATCTTTGTTTGGTAGGACTCAGTGTTATGGTTGTTTTTCTGATAGTAGCTAACACTATGCTTGACATGTAATTAACATTCAGTAAAATTTGCTTAAATGACATATTTTATTTATCAATCATTTAACAGGAGTCATCAGAGAATGAACAAAACAGTGAAGCTGAGAGATGGAATCAAAGATTATTTCAGATGTTAAATCGTTTACGGGTAAGATGTTAGGGTTTGTCAACTCTATTTTTGTTTTAAAAATAAATAAAATATTGACCCTAGGCATCTGGATATTTATGAAAACAAAACAATCTTTTATCATTTTGTTGTGGCCAAATTCTGATAGCATGTCTGTATTCCAATCAGCAACAAAACTTTCTTTAAGGGTATAGCCCAGAAATTTTGTGTGAAACTTTTCACACTGATCAGAACTTATCTTGCATTGCCACCTCTATCTGGGAAATAAGTTCTCATTTAGTAACCATAAGCCCTGCTAATAATTCTACTGCTATGGAAGAAGATAATGGACATTAAGGGACAACTAAACTTACTGCCACAAAGATTATGTAAAAAAAAGATTCAGTTCTACTGAATCTTCCCAGTATAATTACATTTCTTATAAACTTCAAGGAGGTTTTTTTTATTGTTGTTTGATTTAATCATTACAGCTTCTATCTTAGGACATTCTGTCATCATAAACATGAAAATGTCTCTGTTCCCTCTTAGTTCTGTTTCTTAGTGCTTTGATTTTCTTTTATCTTAAAATTGTAGTGATTAATATTGTCTCATAATTTCCTGAGATAAATAGTGGGTTGGAGACAGAGGCCTTGCAAACAAATCTGAAATTTTCTTTTTTTCACCTTAAATTTTATTGGTTGTCTCTGGACATAAGTTAGAAATAATTTATTTCCAATATTGAAAGCTGTGTAACATTTCTAGGATTCTTGTGTTGTTATTGAAAGGTCAGATTCTTCCTTGGTTCGTGATCCTTTGTAGGTGATCTTTGTTTTCTCTCTGAAAGTTTTTGGATTCTTTCTTTATCTCTAGTGTTCTGAAATTTCATGATGATGTGCTTTTTAAAAAGTTTACTGTGCTGAGCATGTAGTGTGTTCTTGTAATGAGATAATCCTTGGTTTCTATGAATTTTTTTGGCTGTCCACTTCATTTATCTCCTCTCTTCTTGAAGGGTGTATAGGTTAATGAATCTCTTGAATTGCTCCTTCTATTTAAAAAATATCCTTTATTCTCCATATTAATTTCCTTTGTTTTTGTATTTTTCCTTTCACTAGAAGATGCCCTCAACTTTGGATTTAAGGCTTTATGAAATTTTTATTTTTGCTTTCACTTTTTTGTTTTTCAGGAGCTGCTTTTTATGTGTTGGTCTTTTAGTTACTAGCTACTTTTTTGTTTCGTAAAATCCTAATCCTTTCTAAATAATTATTTATTTAATTAAAAACTCTTTGTTGCCAGGCATAGTGGCACACACCTGTAATCGTAGCACTCCAGGAAGCTGAGACAGAAGGGTCACAAGTTCAAGTACAGTCTAGACAATTTAGCAATTTTGTGAGGCCCTATTTCAAAATAAAAAATAAAAAAGGCGGAGGATGTATCTCAGTGCAAACCACAGTATCATAAAAAAAGAACCTTTTTTGAAGTATGGTTAACATAAAATGAACTATGCATGTTTAATGTACAGTACACAGTGAGATGAGTCTTGACTTATGTATATACCTATGAAACCATCACTATACTCAGGATAAGGAACATATCTAAAACCCCAATGAGTTTCCTTGTGTCCTTTCATGGTCTCTTGCACTGTCCTTCCCACTGTCTTCCTTTATCCTTGTCACTTTTCACAGATGCAGTGAAAAACTTCTCAACTTTAGAAGTTACAGTCTTCTTCTGCTTCCTGAATTATTTTAGTGATTCTCTTGAATGTGTTCTTTTTATTTTTTATTGTTAGAGATTTAAATGTCTGGTGGATCTTTGGTTATCTGCTTTTATTTAAGACTAAGACACCAAAAAACTGATTTTGGAAGTTACATGGCCATGGACAGGGCTTGTATGTAGTCTTGTGGTCTTAATAGTGAGTTAACTGGTGGTGCCCTTTCCCCAGATATCATCATCTAAAGAAGTTTTTCTTTTTGAGTGGTCAGTTTTCTCAGAGCATTTTTTTCAGCTACTACCTAGGCGATATATGCATGATGCCAGTTGTTCAGGAATGAAAAAGAAGTCGGGGAAAGGTTAGTTGTCTCATTGTACAGGTGTGGAATGTCACTTAATCTTGTAGTTTGTGGCATGGCATTTTTCCTTCCCCATCTACAGTGCCAGTGTCCCAAATCCAGAGCTTCAATGGTTGGTATCTCCAGAAAAATACTTTCTTGCCTGCTGCTGCTCTATATAGTGGTCTCTCGTTCTTAGAGGCTGTGGAGCGGACAGAAGGCCTAACTTCCCCTGAGTTTCAAGGAATTCTGTTTTCAGTCTCATCTCTAGCTTATGTCTCCAGCTCCTGAGTTTTTTCAAGGTTCTATACCTCAAGTTGGCTTGATTTTTGCTGGTTTTCCCCTCTCTGTTGATACTTAGGTATCAGCTTTCTCTCCTCTGCTAAGTCAGTTGTGTCTTCCATTTTCTTAATCTCTTTTGTCATTTTTTATTCCTTTACTCTCATTTTTCAAAAGGGCTTCTGAAGGAAACACAACTAAGCACATATGTTCATCTTGCATATTTGTTCCCTCAAGGTTTCTCAAGAGAATTTTTAAAATTGAAAAAGCTGTTCCCACTCTCTCCCAGGGGGAAAAAAACTACCAAATCCATATCTTGTTGCACAAAGGAAGGAATAAATGAAGGCTAAGTATACAACCTCTGAAAGGCTGCTGACTCTGGGCCACAACTTTGATTAAGATAAACCACAATAAAATATTAACTTATTAATTTGTTAAGTGTTGTAGACTGGCAAAAACTTGTATGATATTTCTAAAAGTGCTTAACAACCATCCAAGGAGTTTGATACTCATGGGGATATTGGCCAGTATTCATTACAATATTTCTAACTAAAAATTAAACTTCTGTAGGAAGGTGATTCCAAGTCTTAGTCTTTATGAAAGCAATTATTTTCACCCATAATTACTTTATTGTACCTTATTTCTAGTAGGTATATATGTGCCCTATGATGATTCCAACATCTTTTTAATCTGTATAAAGAAACTGGGAGATGTTTAGTTATATTCCCCTGCCACTAAAACATACAAATGTACTTCTCCATTTACTACTAACATTGTTTATAGTCATAGTAAAGTTCATTGTTTATAGTCAAAGTAAGCCTGATAAACTGACCATTTGCATTATATTTGAAGCCTTCCAAAGTGCTATATAATTTTTCTGCCTACAAGTCTAAACTAATTGCACTTTTCATAGAAGGAATTTATTTTGACATCAATTTTTAAAGACCTAGCATTTATATAACACATTATGAATTTGTATAACATTTCAAGGTTCTTTTTCATGCATTTTTTTCAATGAGCCAAGCTTGTGCTTAGTGACCTACGGTGGTTTTATAAGTTTATTAGAGTTTTCTGTATTTCTCCATTGAAGGATATCATAATCACTTATCAAAAAACTCCATCTTTTGTTGTTCATAATGCACCCACAGCCTGCTTTACTTCTAATGATTTTGTTTCCCTTCCTTTCCCTCTCTTCTATTTTCTCAGGAATCTAACAAGATGGGGATGCAGTCCTTTAGTCTGAAGAACCTTTGCAGAAATAGTGACCGAAAACAAGCTGCTACCAAATTTTGTAGCTTTCTTATCCTAAAAAAACAGCAGGTTATTGAGCTGAGTCAAAGTACTCCCTATGCAGATATTATAGCTACAGTAGGACCAATGTTCCATACAATGTGAAGGAAATACAGAACACGCAGTTTTATGCCATCACAGACATTTCTGTATAGATTGTTCAATTTAACGCAGAAGCCTTCTGAGAACATCTGAAGGACTGATCTGTTTCACAGATAGGCTGACCTCCTGTCTTTTTCTAAGTTCAGAATAATCATAGACAGAATTGGAAACTTATCTGCTTACAGAAATATTAATTATAGCAAGGTAATTTTTAAAACTTAGCTGATTTGAATGTATAGCATAATTTCCTGGTTTGAATGTAGTATTTAGGGTACATTTAGGATATATTTTGAAAACATTATATGCCTTCAAGACACATTCAAGGATTTTTTTTTTTTGGTTCTGGGGATTGAACTTGGGTCCCTGCGCTTGCGCAGCAGGTGGCAAAACCACTGAGCTAAATCCCCGACCCTCAAGGATGTTTTTTAAAAATGCTATTTTGTACTAGATTGTTTATTCAAATTTTATGGGGCTAATGAATATTAATGCTCATTTCTTGGCAGACAATAATTTATTTGATTCTAATGTCTATCATCTTTGATATGATCTAGTGTCATGGTTTTTCATCTAATATCTTAATTGAAGAATTACAAAATTAATCTTTGTTTTAAGTCACCTGCCTGGCTTTTAGCTTGTTCATAGGTCATTTAACTTTTTTATTTACTATTTAATGATTATTATAATCACCATTAATCCCTCAACAAACCTAAATTTACTTCTTACATTTAAAACATTAGTAGACACTTTTGCAGCATGTTGTCTGCAGCTATAACTTGAGTAAAAAATTGCTAAAACACGTGTTCTTATACATGGTATTTACTGAGCATTTCTGACATTAAAACCATTGGTTTTTTTCTTAGTTGAAATTTAAATTAGATTTTCATATATGCTCTGTGAACTCCATTGTACACTATAAAATGAAGCCTATAATACTCTTTAAAGCATTGTTTTTAGAATTATGTTACATAGAACTAAATTCTAAATAGCCTCTATGAATACATTAAATATAAGACGTAAATATCAAAATTGCTTTTTAAATTTTATTTTTAAATTATGCAGACAAAATGACTTCTTAATTTTGGTACACAGTTCTATAAATTTTAACATATAGTTTTCTGGAACTACCACCACAATCAGGATACAAAGAGTAACAACATTCTAAAAAACTCCTTGTGTTATCCCTTTATAGTCAAGCCTTTCTCCCATGCTGACCTCTTGCAGCCATTCTTTTCCAGGACTACATTTTTGTCTTATTGATAATGTCATATAAGTGTAATTATATAGCATGTAACTTTTTGAGACTGGTTTCTTTCACTCAGTGTAACATCTTTAATATTCACCCAAGTGGTTGGATAGTTTGTTCCTCTTATTGCTGAGTAGTATTCTGTTGCTGGATATACCCAGTTTTATTTATGCATTTATCCACTGAAAGACATTTAGAGTGTTTTCAGTTTTGTTAAAATAGAGCTGCATATCTTTGTGTACAGTTTTTGTATGAATTTAAGGTTTTATTTCCCTAGGAGTGGGATTTCTGGGTCATATGTATGTTTAACTTTGTAATAAATTTGTAACTTTGTAATAAATTATCAAATTATTTTCAAGAATGGGTGTATTTTGAATTCTCAGTAGTAATGTTTGAGTTCCAATTTACTTGTTATATTGATATAATTGTACATCTGTGTGCAATTGTAAGAAATAATACAGACAGACCAGTTCCTCCCAATGGTAACATTTTGCCTAACTTTATTATAATACCACAGCCAAGAAATTGGCATTGATACTACCCACCTACCTTATTCAAATTTTAACAGTCATGCACTCATTTGTGTGTATGTATATTCAGTTCTATGAAATGTTGGTTGTATGTAACTTTGTGTGACCACCACTGTAGCAGAGAAACAGAACAGCTCCATCACAAAAATCATCTTCGTTACCTTTTGTTAGCCACAGCTATCTCCCTCCCTTCCCTCCTGCCTAGCCCCTGACTACCATTAAGCTGTTCTCTATTTCTATAATTTTGTCATTGATACAATTAGCTTTTGTGGGTTAATTTTATATCCAGTGACTTTTCTAAACTCACAAATTAGTTTTATGTGGCTTTATTGGTTTGTTTTTGTAGATTTCTTAGTATTTTCTATACAATCATGTTGTCTACATGGAAGAACAATTTTATTTCTTTCTTTGCAATCTGTATGACTTTTATTTCCTTTTCTTACCTTGTAACACTTGCTAGAACCCTTAATATTTTGTTGAGCAAAATATCATTGCATTTTCCCAATCTTAGAAGGGAAGTATTCACTCTTTAACCACTAATTATGATGTGAACTATATTTGGATTATATTGTTTTGGGAGAGGTAATTGTGTCAGTTTGTTATTTTTGCTATAACAAAATATCTGATGCTGGGTACTTAAAAAGAAAAGAGGCTTACTTAACTCACAACTTTGGAAGGTAAAAGTCCAAGATCAAATGGCCCCATCTGTTCAGCCTCTGGTGAGAGCTTCATTGGCTGTATCATAATATGGCATATGGCATATCCAAGAAAGAAAGATCACATAGTAATCAGGAAGCTAGAGAGACTTAATGGTACATGTTTGCTCTTTTTATGAAAACTTGTTCTCACAGGAATTAACTGGGGTCTGTGCCCCTCAGTAACCACCTTCTATTAGGCACCACCTCTTAAAAGTTTCATCACCTCAACACTGCTAGATTAAGAAACAACCTTCCAGCACGTGAACCTTTGAGAGACAGTCAAACCATAGATGACATTCCTTTCTAGTCCCAGTTTCCTGAACATGTTTATCATGAATGAATGCTGAATTTTGTCAAATGCTTTTTCTGCATTGATTAATTTTATCATGAGATTTTTTTTCTTGAGTATTAATATGGTGTAACACACTTATGGTTTTAAAAATTTTTTTCAAGTTTTGTATTTCTAAGATAACTCCTGGTGTATATTCAAATTTATGTCCAAATACTATTCCATTGTATAGCTATACCACATTTTTTATCCATTCATCAGTTGATGGACCGACATGTGAGTTATTTCTACTGTTTTGACTGGTATGAATAATGCTGCTATTAACATTAGTGCATAAATTTTGTGTATACATATTTTCATTTTTCTTGGGTATATACCTAGAAGTAGAAATGCTAGGCCACATGATAAACTAAAGTTTAACTTTTGGGGGGGAACTTCGAGTTGTTTTCCAAAACACTGTACAATTTTACATTTCTATCAGCAGTGTAACAGGGTTCCAGTTTCTATATCTCCCTGCTACCACTTGTCGCTGTCCTTTTTTTATTATTATTACTAGCCTAGTGAGTGTGAAGTGATATCTCATAGCTCTAATATGCATTACCATAAGGATAATGATGTTGAGTGTTTTTTCATGTGAATTTGATATAAGGAGGTATACTGGTCTTTCTTTTCCTGTTCTTTTTCAGGTTTTGGTATCAAAGTTATACTAGCTTCATAAGATAACTTGAAAAGTATTTCCTCCTATTCTACTTCTCTGGAAAAGACTGTGTAGCTTTGTATTATTTCTTCATAGAAGTTTGGTAGAATTTACACCACAAAACCATCTGGATGTGGAGATTTATATTTTGGAAAGTTTTCAGCTATGAAGCCAATGTTTAAAATAGTTGTAAGAACATCAGTTATTTATTTCATTTTGAGTGAGTTAGTAGTTTGTGCTTTCAAGAAATAAGTCCATTTCTTCTACATTGCTGAGTTGAGAATTGATGAGTGTAGAATTGTTTCAAGTATTGCCTTATTATCCTTTAAGGCCTGTAATGTCTACAGTAATAAACCTGCTTTCATTTCAGACATTGTTAAGTTTATGTCTTCTCTCTGTTTTTTAGTTTCTTTAGAGGCTTGAAATTGTATTGGTCTTTGCAAAGAACCACATTTTGATTTTACTGATTTTTCGCTTTTGTTTTTGTTTTCAATTTCATATATCTGTACTCCTATGTTTATTGTTTCTTTTATTCAGCTTGCTTTGGGATTCTGTTCCTCTTATCTTTCTCATTTTATAAGTAATATAGATAATTGATTTGTGATCCTTCTTTTCTAATATGAAGACACATACTTTGCTCCAAGCACTGTTTTAGCTGTACCACACACTTTGATATGCTGCATTTCCATTTTTGTTTGGCTAAAAAACATTTTTAAGTGCCTTTGCAACATCCTCCTTGATCTGTGAATTATTTAGAACTATGTTTTTTAATAGCTAAGAGCAATTTTCCTCCTATTTTTCAGTAATAAATTTCCTGTCTAACTTCTTTTTGTTTAGAGAACTTACTATAAGTGATTTTGATTCTTTTAACTTATTAAGGCTTATTTTATGATTCAGTGTGGAATCTGTCTTGCTGATGTTCCATGGGCACATAAAGAATATATTCTTGTTAGGTGAATGTCAATAAATGTCAGATCTGGTTGTTTGATAGTGTTCAGTTCTCACCTTTGCTTATTTTTGGTCTTGGGTTCTATTTATTACTGAGAAGGGAGTGTTTGTGTCTCCAGCTGTAATTATGGATCTGTTTATTTCTTTCAGTGTTTGCTTCATATATTTTGATGCTCTTCCATTCAATGCAGACACATCTACACTTATTATGTCTTTTTTTTTTTTTTTGGTACTGGGGATTGAACTCGGGACCTTGCGCTTGTGAGGCAGGCGCCAGAACCACTGAGCTAAATCCCCAGCCACTTATTATGTCTTGTTGGTACAATGGCTTTTCTATTATTGTAAAAAGAATTTCTATATCCATGGTATTTTTTTATTCTGAATTATGCTTTTTTTTGATATTAATATTGCCATTCCAGCTGTCTTTTGACTAGCATTTGTGTGATATGTACTGGTATTTTTACATCTTTTACTTTTAGTCTACCTCTATCATATTTAAAATGAGTTTAAGGTTGCATTTAATAAAGTCATTTTAAAATCCATTCTGACAATCTCTGTTTTAACTTATGCATTTAAACCACTTACATTTAATGTAGTTATTGGCATGTTTGGATTTAGGTCTACTATTTTATTTCTATTTACTGTTTGTTCCCTTTATTTTTCTCTTTCTTTGTGCATGTGTGTGCAGGGTAGTACTGGAGACTGAACCTGGGTCCTTCGTACTAAGTTACATCCTCAACCCTTTTTATTTTTATTTTATGAAATAGGGTCTTCCTAAGTTGCTAAATTTCCCAGGCTAAGTTTAAACTTGCCATCTTCCTGCCTCAGTCTCCCAGAGTGCTGAGACTACAGGCATATGCCACTGTACCTGGCTTACCAGAGACCCTTGCAGTGGATCCTAATCTCCTGCTCAGGGCTATGATGCAAGATGAGAAGAAAGACTCAGGCACAGTATTAAGGAGTGAAATGGGGAGCTAGGATGGTCAATGCTGAGTAAACAGCAAAGACCTTGAACAGCTAGAACTGCCGATATTTATTGGTGACACAATCATTGTTAGGTTGGGTTGAGGGGCCTTGTGCTAGAAATAAGTTGCTTTTGCAGGTAAGGCTTGTAAAAGAAGGGACAAAGCATTCTTGCATTAGGAACAGAACAGATCAGATATAGGTTGTGGTTAATGATTAACCCGTCTTTACAGTTAAGAAGGTTTCATTTCTGGGAATGGAATTTGGGTAAGAGCCACTCTGACCACAGTTGGACTCACTTCTTAAAATAAGCCAATTGCAGGGTTAACTCATTACAGGCTGCTTTGGGCACAATCAACAGGGTAGTCTCCCACACTGGCTCACTCTAATTTTCATAAATATTCTCTCCATTCTCACCTTTTGAAATATTTAACATTTTTAGAAGTCTATTTTAATTTATTCTGTTTTTATTGTGTATTTTATACAATTTTTAATAGCTGTTCTAGAGATTATGAAATCTAAACTTTTCACACTACTTCTAGTGTACAAAATTTATAACATTTAGGTTTCTTTACACTTCCTCCTTTATACTGTAGTTTTCTTATATGTTACATCTCATACATTCACACTCCATCAGACAATGATACAATAACCTTAACTGTCAAACACTTAAAAGAATTCAAGAAAATAGACTATTAAATTCACTTAGATAATTAACCTTTTTTTTTCCCTCTCTCCCTCCCTCTTTCCTTTCCTTTCTTCCTTCCTCCCTCCCTCCCTTCCTTTCTTCCTTCTTTCCTAATGTTCCAAGGTTTTTTTCTGGCGTAATGTCCCTTTTGTCTGAAGAACTTTTCAGCAATTCTTTTTAAGCAAGTATACTGACAATGATTTAAGTTTTTTTTTATCAGAGAATGACCTTATTTCACTTTCATTTTTGAAGAACATCTTTTCTGGGTATAAAATCCTGGTTGATACTTCTTTTTTTGGAAATTAATTAATTTAATTTTTTTTAATTGTTAAGTTTATTGGTATAATTTAGATATACACAATGATCGCATTCTTTGTATAGAATGTATAGCTGTACATGATATATCTTTTTTTTTAAACAGGGATTGATTTTTTTTAGCTTGGAACCTTGTGTTTGTGAGGCAGGCAGCAGCACCACTGAGCTAAATCCCCAGCCCTACACGATATATCTTGATTCTTATT